CAAAAAGGAGGGAAGAGTTTGCTACATTACAGTCAACCACGGAGCAAGGACATTTTCCCAAAGGAGGGAGCATTTAGACTTAACCTTGAAGGATGACAAAGGATTTTCCAAGTAGAGAGAGAGGCGGGAATTCAGTCAAACTGGGCAGAAAGTCACCAGGGGAGAAAACTGGGGAATGCTCTTCTCCACAGGAGGCAGTGATCAGACTGGCATGTTGAAATGCCAGTGTGGCAGCTGATGGTGGACAGATGGAGGGGAGGCCACACTGGAAGTTGGAGGGTCAGCTCTGAGGCTGTTGTGATAGTCTGAGGTGGTCAGACACTGGGCTAGAACTAAGCCACTCGGGGCAGCAGTAGGAACACCTGCAAGCCATCTTGGTGCCCAAATCAGCAGACTTCACAATGGTGGCCAATGCTGCTACTAACATACTCAAACAATTTTCCCTTATTTTTTCCTACCAAACTTGATTTTGACTGAATTAATATGTCTAGCCAGTGTAGGGTTTATTGGGCTACACCAATCGTGACGGCTCTATTTCCCAACCTCTTTGCTTCCTTTGCAGATAAGGGTGTACATATGACCTAGTTCTGACCAGTGAGGCCTAAGGGAAAGTATGCTGTGGAGATTTCTGTGACAGATTCGACTGTCTTAAAAAAAGGGCAATGTGGCTTGCTTGATCCTCCACCTTTCCGGTTCATCTTGCCCTGTGGATGTAACACCTGGAGGCACTGTGGTCATCTTGGACCAAAGATCAATCAGCACAAGAAAAAAGGGCACACACTAAGACAGCACATCCCTCAAACAGAAGACTCAAGTACTGCCATGGAGCAACTGAAAGGGAAATAGTAATGTCTGGTTCTGGACTTCTAGTTATACAGAAAAACGAATGAATGTAGTTATGCCATTATTAAGTGGATTTTCTGGAATCTGCAGCTGAACACATTCCTGATTGTCTCAAACAGTGAGCAAATGAATTTGCATTGTGAGGGAAGAGAGAAATCCAACTTAAATCTAAAATGTCTAGGTTGGTGATCTGGGTGGCTAGAAGCTTAGCATATAGACAATATAAAGGACATGGGAGGGAGGAGTGGGTAAGGGCACTTTCTATGAAGCCTGATACCTGGATCCAATCCCTAGGACCCACATGGTAGAAGGAGAGAACTGGCTCCTGCAAGTTGTTCTCTGACTTCCATACATGTGCCATAGCACATACCCTATCACATATGCAAATAAATAAATGTAATAGAAAAAAAGAATTACAAACGTGTTCAATACTGAAGCATCATTTGCAAAAAGATATTGCCTGTCAAGTAAATTTCTGAAGTCTAATTCTTGATGTATCTTTAAGGATGTTTTTTACTTATGTTTATGTGTATTTGTGTGTGTGTGTGTGTGTGTATGTATGTATGTGAGAGAGAGAGAGAGAGAGAGAGAGAGAGAATGTGTGTGAGTGCCCATGGAGGCGAAAAGAGGCAACAATCAGATCCTGGAGTTACAGGCAGTTGTGAGCCACTTGACATGGGTACTTGGGTCCTCTAGAAGAACAGCAAGCACTCAACCATACAGCCACCTCTCCAGCCCCCATTTAATCACAAGAAAGAATTGGTTATTAAAACACTCCCTTAAATAAAGCAAGCATGTATTTTCTATTGTCCTAATAATTCCAATAACAACAATATCTTCATCTTAATCTAGGATTCTTTCTCAGACTTCCTTTGTGAGGGGCAATGAGCAAGGGTTACAAGCAGCTCCTGGAATCAAGACTCTCTTATAGGGTCCATAATATCTTGGAAAACTAGTAATTATCAATAAAATTTGCATTACCAGACATTATTGGGAATTGGTAATCACCTATTTATAATCAACATTGCTTTCAGTAACGACAGAATGCCACCATTATTAAAGTCTGCTTTAAACATATCCAGGGTCCACTCCTGGAGCACCATGTCAGCCTTCTTCCCTTCCCAGCTCTTGTCTTCCACCCTCAGCTACTGTGTTCACGTGGACATGGTGGAGCAGTGGGGCATCATCCTTTCGCTGTGTCTGTCCTCACCATGTCCCAATGTAAGGTTCCTTTCACTTCAGTCCACTGCCTCTGGCTGTGGTAAACACCAGAATGCAGTTTATGAGCATACACTTTCAAATCTCAAAAGAAAGAGTCAGGTTTGTGCCTAGCTCTTCAGTTCATTTTGAACCGATGCATTTTTTAAGGCTCTCAAGTACTGCTTTCTTTCCAGTCTAAGCATTCCACAAATACCCACATTGAAATCTTACTGACAGTGTGTGACACTCAACAGGAAAATCAGCCTTTGTCTCAACTCAGGACCTCAAGACCACCTCCCCACTGGCAGGCTGACCACTTCAGCGAGGCTACATGGGTGCTTCAGTCTTGAGCTCTTGAAGCCTCTTTGCTGCATACCACTCCAGGGGAGCTGACTCTTCCCAGAGACTTGACAGCCTGGTACCATGTCCTCCCACAATCACCTTCCCATTCCACCGGCTTATCTCAGGTGTCAGAGAAGAATGAAACTTTATGATTGCACATTCCAACTGTAGCAATTGTGGGAAGAGCCTACAACAGAGCCAGCTGGCATCTACGGGACAAGGCTGGGATGGCTGCCTGAATAGCCACATGTCCAGCCCCAGCCAACCCCACTCCAGGCTGTAAAAAGAGCAAGACAAGACCCCTTGGAAGACCTCTGGGGTAACCTGTATTTGGGATATGTATTCTAACAGTCCTGAGAATGCTCTAGAAGAGCAAGGGTCAAAACCCCTAGAACACTTCCCAGTGCTTGGCACTCACCAGGTGGGCTAGCCTTAGCCATTCAGGTACAGCCCCATTCCTGTGCTAGGGCAAGTAAGACATGGTGGGCTGTGAAGAAAAGGTCAGACTGGACCTGTGAGAATAGGTCATTCTTCCTTCTCACTGGATTACTAGGACCCAGGTCTTTGTCATCCTTCTCTGGTGGGAACAAACACTTCTGTCATCTTCCTGACCTCCCTAAAGTGCTAGAAAAGGATAAGAGAATGTAAAAGAGGGCTTAGAGGTCCCTGAGAGGTGCCCATGGGCCTTATGTTTCAGTCCTATGCCCAGTAAATCATGAAGTCAGCTCAATTGCAAAAGAAAATTTCCAAACTGGTCTAGCATCTCAAATGATACAGATTTATCTAAGAAAGGTTCTCTTAAAGAGGACTATAGCAGCATTGAATACTGGGGCCCACAGAAAGTGACTGAACACCGATTAAGTCTGTGACAGCTCACTCAGTCTGTCAGCCTCCAGGAGCCTCAGTTTCCTTATCTATAAGGAAGGGACAATAGTCAGTACCTTGAGAAGATTCAATGAGCATGAATATGGACCTGGGCTCTGACTACAGGATGTGCTCAGTTGAAAAGTGGGAGGGGTGATGAAAAGCAGAAAGCACTACACAAGGGCAAGGCCAGCCCAGCGCATGGAAAGGGGTCCTAAACAAGCACATGCAGGGAGTGCCGTCAGCGTCCCCAGCCAGGGACCACTGGGTAGCCCACCAAGGACTTATCTGCTGGGGTAATAGAGCAGCCCAGAGAGTGGATTCTGATCCTTCTTATCTTATATCCCCTGAACTCCATAATACCCTATTGGCCTCAGGGGAGGGGAGCTGTGGCTTCATCCAGGTGAACAGTGCAGGTTTAATTCTGGGGCTTTGATTCTTGGGTATGGAACCCTGTGCAAAGGCGTGGAGCTCGTGGCTGGCCAGTGGGAGTCAACCCTTTCTCTTTCCCATCTTCCTTTCTATTCCTTCTTCCTCCCGCTCAGCCCCCTGATCATCTTTGATGTAGTGCTCCTCCCTCTGGGACAAAGACCCAGACTCCTGGCTGGTTCTGCAGTGGAGAGCACAGCCCAGCACAGCCCAGGCTTCTCCCATCCCAGCTCAGGCACACAAAGGAATGCTTCTGAGTAGCAAGGACCTGCCTGGCGCTAGACTGAAAGGGTTTTTAGGGTTTGTTTATTTGTTTAGGCTTTTCATGAAGAAGACCTCAAAGGAAACTTTCCAATATCTAGTAACCATCAGACCAGTTTGCAAGTTTTCTGGAATGCTCAGAGCTGCCAGATAAGGGGTAACAGGAGGAAAAGGCAAGAGGCCTGAGTCCCAGGATTCTGTATACACAGAGATGGGGAGGAATTAGCCTGGCTTGCTTTCAGCCTTCTTGGTGGGCCTGGGTGAAATGAGGGCAGGTTGCAGTGGCTTTAGGAGAAACTAGTTTTGTCTGCTCTAAACAGAAGCACTGCAAACAAAGCTCAGGCTGTATCAGCAAGTCTTCAGGGAGACCTGAGGCTTTTGGTAATTAAGATCCATCATTCCAGCTACAGGGCAGGAATGTTCTTTCTGCAATGTCGGTCTCTTTATTTACTTTCACTCTTTACAAGAAACAAATACCCAGTCCATCACTGAACTAGGTCTTGGAGCAATCATTCTTTTGGAGGATTCCTGCATATGGTTTGAGCAGGCCCAGCCTGAAGACTTCTCTGCAGATACCCTCTCTGGTCACTTCCCTGTGAATTTCTGTAAGTCTCCCTGTAGACTGGGAAACGACCCCTCCTTCAGGAGAGACAGCTTCTTCCTCTACCAGCTCACCATTTGGCCTCCAACCATCCCAAGAGATGGGAAACATTTTTAGAAGAGAAGAGAAGATTTCTGAGAGGTGGTAGAGCTGCCTCACTGTACACAGAGCCCTCCGCTCTGACTCGGTCATTTCCCACGCCTGGGGAAATGTGGAGTAAGGAGAGGTGACTATGGGAGGGCCAGGAGGAGGTGCCAGGCCTGTAAAGGGGAAGGCTTGAAGTGGGGTGGAGAGAGAGGCAATAGAGTGGGCTAAAGACAACGAAGTCTTGGTAGGGAAGGAGGGGCTTCAGGGGCTGGAGTATCTCAGGCCTCTCAGAAGATGGGGATGGGGGAGGGGCAGCTGGGAAACAGGCCTCCCTCTGGCATTCAGAGCTGACTCGGAAAGTCACTGGTTCCTGCAATATTTGAAACAAGATTGAGGGCTGTAAAAGGGTGTCCAGGGGTATCACAAGCCACAGGGACTGCTTCCGGTAAGTATTGCATACTGCAGGATGCCTGGTCTCTTGGCTTCAATTCCCACCAACTATCTCACCAGTTTGACCCTAAGTTAGCAAGAGGGAGGCTTTCCACTTGGAGCCTGGATGGTGGCTCAGGAATCCATCTGTATTCAGCAAAGAAGCCAGGGAAGGAACTTGCGTCTACAGTGCAGGGGCTATCAGGCAGTAACCTCAAGATTCAGGTCTGCTTAGAAGCCACCTTGCCACTCCCCAGCTGGTCCATGACCTCCTTAGCTGCACCCCTGGGTACTGCAGAAGCAAACCTAGCAGCAAAGAGCTGACAGCCGCTGCTGCCTTTTGTTGGAACCTACTTGGTACCAGGAAATGCTTGATTCGGGCATCCCAAGCCTCACAGCCGTCTAGAGCTCCTTTCTTCTGAAGGCAACACTGAGCTCCTCCGAAGAAAGGACCCCAGAACTTATTTTATGCAAACTGGGGTTCACACATGACTGGGTAGTTCTAAGCAAAATTGGCCCAGCGAATGTTGCTGAGCATGACAAAATCTTCCCGGGTCTCGGGTCTTCTGTCTCAGCAGAGAGTCTTTCACCTAAGGGCCTTCACAATCAGCAAGCAGAGACTGCTTCAGTGGAAAGTTTACTGCAGAAAGAGGGCAGCTCCACCTTGCAGAAACACGGAATGGGAAGAAAGAAACGGGGGCGGGGGTCCTGGGAGATTCAGGCCAGGAATACGCAGATGAGTGGGGCCTCCCGCGGGAGTGAGGGACACTGCTAGGGCACTGCTTGTGGGTCTCAGGGTTCGTGGGTCGCAGTGAACAAGGAGCGGAGATGAGAGGAAGGTGGCCAGGAGTGATGTCTCTGCTCGCCAGTTAAAATGGGGGCATGTCCCCCATACCCTTCGGGGAACATCCAGGGACACACATCTGCCCTGTGATCGAGGGTTTGTAATCAGCGCTCAACTGTCTTCCCCAGGGACTAGCCATGCGGTGGACGCTGCTGCTGCCCCTGCTGATGATGCTGAGCCTGAGCCTGAGCTTGGGGGGGCCTCCCCAGGAACCGGTCCCGCTCTTCCGCCTCACCCAGCAGGGTCCCTGGGAGAGCAGGGGCAGCTACACCACCTCCGACTCGCCGTGCGAGGGGTTCCCCGTGGGAGCCACGGTCTTGACTCTGGTGAACCGCAGTCTGGAGCGCCTGCCCGCCTGCCTTCCTCGTACCCTGCGCAGCCTCGACGGCAGCCACAACCTGCTGCGGGCCCTGAGCACGCCGGAGCTGGGCGGCCTGCAGGAGCTGCGGGAGCTCACGCTGCGCCACAACCGCATCTCTGCGCTGCGCTGGGGCGGCGGCGCTCCAGCCCGGCTGCTCGCGCTCGACCTCAGCCACAACGCGCTGGCCGCTCTGCCGCCGTGCACCGGGCCGGCACTGCACAGCTTGCGGATGCTGACGCTGGCTGGGAACCCGTTGCGGGAGCTGCAGCCCCGGGCCTTCGCCTGCCTCCCGGAGCTGCAACTGCTCAACCTCTCCTGCAGCGCGCTGGGCCGCGGCGCCCGTGGGAGCATCGCAGACGGGGCGTTCACTAGGGAGGACGGACAGCCACTGGTCACACTGGAGGTCCTGGATCTGAGCGGCACGCACCTAGAGCAGGGTAAGTCGGGTGTTAGGCATGTGCGGCCAGGGTGGGGTGATCAGGGCTGCGTCTTCCACGAGTGACCAGAGAGCCTAATTCACCGGCTGTTGGCCTCCAAACTATACCGCACATTCTCCCGAGCGGTCCTGTCCAAAGTGCCCCACACTCTTTGAGCCTCGCAGGTGGGAACTGTTGGCAGTCTGCGGTTTACATAAGAGGAAACCAATAAAGGTGGAATGACTTGACCAGAGTCGTTGACCAGGTCTGTAAGGGCCTGGTGCTCCCAAATCCAAGCCCAGGCATTCTGCTGGCAGAGCTCAACGCTTTAGCCATTGCGTTCTGCTGTTTCCGTGGCTGAATAAACGCTGTGGGGTGGAGAGGTAGGTTTGGAGTGGGGGCTGATGAACAGAGGAGCTTAGCAACAAGCATGCTGAAGAGGAATTCATTGCTTTGTCCTATCCTCGGCTAGAACTGTCTGTGAATGTTGGCTCACTCAAGCAGAACGAAGGAGCAGGTAGGTGCCTTTGGTTCACAGGCCTGGTTACACTTGTTTCTTCAAAAACCAGCCGTTCAAACACAAAGCAGGTGGGAGGAACAACGAATTCAGAAAGGAAGGGAAACGTTCTCCATTTATCGGGAGACCACTAAGTTGAGTTTCTGGGCCGCCTCCATCCAGCCTTGTTCCCCTCTTCTCACGTTCCTCAAAAGCTCCCCAGCCTGGGACGTATCAGAGCCAAGTCTGGTTATTCTGTGTGTGTTTAGCCAGAGGCTGGGGGAGCAGCAGGCTTGGAAACATTGCCCGGGCACACTTTCACTCCTCTTTCTCAACTGTGTGGCCTTGGGTCAGCCATGCTTCTCTCTGGCCTTAGCCAACTCTGGCTGGAAGAAAGGATTGGGCATAGCTGGGAGAGGCTCTTCCTGCTGAAATGGGACCCTTAAAACTGTCATGCCAGTGACCTACCTCATCCTGCCACTCATCTCCTTAATGCTGCGCTGGTCCCTGGGGTTTGTGACTTGCTGGGTAGTGGACAGTTTACCTTGTGTTTCAGTTGAGTCTGGGTGGATCAGAGACCTGCCAAATCTCAAGTCCCTCTACCTGAGAAAGATGCCCAGGTTGAAGACCCTGGAGGGAGACATTTTCAAGATGACCCCCAACCTGAAGCAGCTGGACTGTCAAGAATCTCCAGCCCTTACTTCTGTCCACACGCAGATCTTTCAAGATACCCCCTGTCTACAGCTCCTTCTGTTCCAGAAGTAAGTGATTTTAAGGCCCACCTCAATCACAGGACTGATTTTTGCTCGCTCTACTATGCTGTTTTATATGACACACAGGTCCTTAATGTTTCTCACACTGCTTTTCCGAAACCCTCCCCGGTTTCTGTTCCCCTTCACCTTCCTAGTGGTGATGTCTCCACAGGTGAATAATTAGCAATGAAGAGATGAAGATTCGGGGCCTTCCTCCACTGGGTCCTCCTCTGTTCCCCACAAGATGCCCAGTTTCAGTCCCTCTCAGGGTATAAGTGGGTTTGAGAGGAAAGAAGAGGGTATAGGAAGATTTACATTGCAGTTGGGATCTGGATTTGGTACCCTCTGTCCTAGGAGCAACCATTTGACTTGACTTCTAATAGGAAGACTAGCTTCTCACACCTGTGTCATATGACATAGAAGACACATCCTTCTTTTCTCCTTCCACTACATGGTGGGGATGGGATTTGGGGAGCCTTCAAAGCTCTGTCCAGTCTCTTCTACCCTCTGACCCTTCTCTGAGTTTATAGGTGGGCAGTGGGCCAGCAAACCCTGTTTCTCAGTCTTCCCTTGTCTAAACATAGCATAGAGCAATTCACTTTAGGATCAGCCAGCCTTTACTTACTGCTTTCTATGGTCTTTGTTGAACTTGAGCCTAAAACAGCGCTGTTTGAAATACCCGGTTATTTCAGTCTTTTCTGTATCATTGGCCATATATAAAAGGTTAGAAATAGCAGCACTGAACCTTAGTCCTACTGCAAGATTTTGTGCTGGCCAACCCACTTAGAGCCTAGCATTTTTCAGTGAAAGATTATCATACTTCAGTGTGGGGTCTCTCTCTCCCCTCGTGGGTCATTGACCACCGATCCAAAGGGAGCAGAAGCGACGAAAGGGGTCAGGACGGCCAGTGAACACTGATGGAAGAAAGCCCTTCCGGGGGAGGCAGATTCAGTGATACAGCTCCAGACTCAGTGAAACAGCTCTGTTTATTCAGTGGGGATTAGGGAAAATATAGTGTGGAGGCAGCAGCCAAAGCTTCAGCTGATAGGTGCTCATAGTATGCTTTATTTATGTGTGGCAGTAGGATCCTATCATCCGACTACCGGGCAATGCCTAATTATCATGTAGAAAAAACCTGGGGGTAGTTTATTACTAGGCCAAAGGTCATGCTCCAAATAAGGTCAGGCATCCATGCTTGGCGGCACTTTCCAGGTAAGTCAGGCAGAGAGCAGGAGGCCCCCACTGAGAAAGGGAGTCCTTCCATATAGCGCCGAGCCCCTTAGAGCTATCAGCACATGGAGGACTACAACCTTAGCAGCAGGGTCCCCCCAACACTTTGGCAGTTGCCTCCCAGAGTCCAGTGAGACAATGTTACAGAAGCACTAACGGCTCTTGCAGTATTGTGGATGAAAGTACTGGTACTGGCCAGCAATCCCTGGGAAGTCTAGGAGTGGGTTTTCTTAGTTCTCTTTTGCCCAGTGCAGCCACTAAAGATGGAGTTATTTTTCCTAAAGGGGGAACAGTTGTTCAAAGTCATCTAGAGCCAGTCACTCATTCTTCCCTTCACTCAGTACAGCCACTGAGCACACAGTGACGTGGAGGGAAAATGCTTTATGACTCTGACTCCTTTGAACTCGATAAAAAAAAAAAATAGAAACTAAAAGTAAAAAAGTAATTGGAAAACTATGTAAAGTGAATTTTCTTTATCAGAAATATAACAACAGCTTATGAAAAGCAGATAGTAGACGGGAGCACTTAACTCAATTTCTAGCATATAGTTGCCCCATAGATTGATGAAGATGGGGCTAAAAAGATGGCTCAGTGAGTAAAGTACTTGCTGTTCAAGCATAGGACTTGAATTCCAATCCCCAGCACCCATGTAAAACAAAAACTCAAGGTATGGCAGTGCACACCTGTAACCCCAGCACAGGGATGCAGACATGTGGTTTTCTGGAGCTTGCTGGCCAGGCAGCCTAATCTAAATGGTTTGGTGAAGAAACCCTGTCTCATGACATAAGGTACAAAGTGACTGAGGAAGACAGGCATGTGCACAGATAAACTCCCCCCTTCCACACATGAACATGAGGAAGACAGGCACGTGCACAGATAAGCTCCCCCCTTCCACACATGAACATGAGGAAGACAGGAACGTGCACAGATAAGCTCCCCCCTTCCACACATGAACATGAGGAAGACAGGAACGTGCACAGATAAACTCCCCCCTTCCACACATGAACGTGAGGAAGACAGGCACGTGCACAGATAAGCTCCCCCCTTCCACACATGAACGTGTCGCACAGGACTGTCCTCCAGCAGACCATGGACAGATGCCTTCTTCCCAAGCTTGGTTGCACCTGCTTGCCTAGGATCATCAAAGCTAAGCTGTTGACTGTTACACTCTGCAAGAGAGGAGGGACAGGAAGAGTCAGCCGTGCCTCTCAACCAGCCAGTTAGCCCTAGTTGCACAAGGGGGAGGGGCTAAGGATATATAAGCTGAGGAAGCTGGGGGGGGGGGCTGGGGGGCGTGTCTGTCTCCATTTTGTGTGGCTGTGGGGAAGTCATGATCCACATCTGGATGGAGACTTTCTGGTGCAGCCTTAGGAGGGGAGCACCCACACTCCTGTAAGTAAACCTTCACCCATAGCTCTATAAGTAAGCTCAATAAACTCACTGGTGTCCCAGACTGCAGTTTGGCAAAATTGGACCTCTGTTTGTGATATGGACCAAGAGAAGAGGGGGCCAGATGTCATTTCAACATGCACATACCCCCCCACACACAAATAATAGCTGGTGAAGGTGATGATGGAGGTCATGAGGGTGCTGGTAATGGTAGTGATGGTGGTAGTGATAATGATAGTGATGACAGTATAGTATGGCAGTGATGGGGTTGTTGATGGTGATGATGGTAGTAGTGACAGTGATGATGACAATATGGTCCCTGCTTTCAAGAAGACTACAGTTTAGTATAGGCAGCACATATACCAACTATCACAAACCATCATGATCAACAGTAGAGGTACAACCATGTGCTACGTGATAAGGCAGGAGGAGGTAATAATCTATGTTCTTCAGAAAGAAAGTGATTGAGCCATAGCTCTGTAGGTAAGTTCAAGCATAGGTATGTGAAAAGGCTTAAGTTTCAATAGGAATGATACATACATATGGCTGATGTTCCAGAGGAAATGGCTGCTGCCTCTGTACCAGCCAGAAATGATAGATCAGATATGCATCGTGGACCCATCCTCACCCAGAACATTAGCATCAGTCAAGAAGAGGGTGGCAGGTTGATAGGCAAGTAGATGAAAAACATCCTTTGCACAAAAGGTTTGAAGGTAAAGTTCAGCTCATGTTGCTCATGACAAATTATAACTGAATGTGGGGTGGTGGGGGGGGCGATAAAGCAAAATCTAAGGGAGCCAAGAGCTGCAGAAAGTGCTAAGAGCCCCGGTCAAACATTCTTTCTGTCTCCAGGGAAGAAACAGGAGAGAATAAGAAATGGCCCTGCCATCGTTGGGTGTGACAAACTATAAATGTTCCCACAGTAATTCTCCCACCCCTGTAGGCATACCTGCTGCAGTGTGACTGCTCTTCTCTACCCATTAAAAGCATGAAGCTTGAAGCTTGGTGACTTACTGAGGCCAGTGCTATGTGACATATATAACAGAAGGTAGAAAGCAGTTGGAATTGAGGTTTGCTTTTTCTTACTCTTGGGGATCCCACTACCAGGTGATGGTCTAGGTTGATTTCCCAGGTGGTAAGAGAAACATGGAAAGAGGTCCAAACCCAGGTGAGGTTCCATATATGCTGAGGCCATCCTACATCATCTGGCCCAGATGAACTAGCCCCGACCACAGGAACCACCAAGCCAACCCACAGAATCACATGAAAGAAAGAAGTATAAGTTTCTAAGTGTTGGTGACATTGTCTACTTAACAAGAGCTAATTGGTATACTCGAGTGAGGTATCTTCCAAGGATTGGTGCTGTGTGCCATCAGCTGTGGTCCAACTCTGGCACTCAACCATTTTCTCATTTCCGTCAACATCACATTTGCTAATATCCTACTGGCCTAAGTAAGTCACCAAGCTTCAGATCCTCCTGCCTCTGCCTCCCAGGTGCTGGGATTAAAGGCGTGCACCACCACACCCGGCCAACATTTTTTTGGGGGGGGCTCTTTTTGAGACAGGGTCTCCCTGTAGCCCCAGCTGTCCTGGAACTCACTATGTAGACCAGGCTGGCCTTGAACTCACAGAGATCTGCCTGCCTCTGCCTCCCAAGTGCTGGGATTAAAGGCATGC